TATTATTATTATTTATAATTTTTTTTGTTATTGCGTGCTGTTCCATGATTCGCTAAAAGTTGTGCAGATCGTCGTCGGAAGGGTGCCGCTGTCAGTAGACCCATGAGACCGGTATCCATTGGGGGGTGGTGTGCACCCTTTCGATGGCATTTTCCAGGGCCGTAATAGTCTCTTCTATATCGTTGTTGACGATGGTTAAATCGAAATAATGACCGTACAACTGGCGTAACATTTCTGACTCTTTTACCAACCTTTCGAGACTACCATCGTACTGGAAAGTTAAGGTAAAGGTACCTTAGGGATATTTCTACGCCTTAATAAGGGTGCAACATGTAATAAAATCGTTTTACTTAACAAAACTTCCACCATTCCCACCATAAACCCTTAATATGTTCATTTTTCAATTATTTTATAATGTATACTTCACTGCATACATCTATGTATACGTATATGCAACCAACAACACGCTACAAACAAAATTTAATGAGCTGAGTCAAAATCATCTGCAAATAGGAACGCAACCATTTGAACCGCCCTCTGCTTTGCAGTTGTTTAATATTAATACAAATACGTCAAAATTCAGGTTTTTTAATTAAAGATTACAATTAAAAAAAATCATCCCCGATATCGAAAATAGTCTTATGACACAATTGGACCTTTAGATTAAAAGTTTTAATAGCCGGATAGTTATACAAACATATATTTATTGTATATTATGAGAGTTGATTTTGCAGTAGTAATAAGTAGAAGACATCGGTAATATCCTTTAGTAGTTTTTCTATAATTTTAACGGAAAAGTGTAATTTTAGACTTTAGGCATAAGTATTTTTAATAAACTTTTATTTGTTTTAATAATTGCGCATGATCCTCTTATGTCTTCTTGTTATTTGGAATAGACCAATGGGATGCTAGAATTTGCCAGACGCTAGACCTACACTTTTCCGTATTAGTTTTCCGCGGAGCGTCGGTGTGAGTACCAAAACGTGTTCGTGCTTGTTTCGCGTGTAGTGTTAACGAATAAACATTAATAAACATTTTTAAAAACATTAATAAGTGTGTGTGGTGCATCAATTCAAATCTACTTTTGATAAGTATCTCCCTGTATAAAGCTGGGGACGAATTTCTCTCAAATTAATAGGTACTAGAAATAATAAAATATTGCGTAATATTAACTTAATATATATGATAATGTTATTTGCAGGACGAATCTTGAGACGAAATGCAAAACAATTGTGTTATATGCATTCAGTTATTTTGCACAAACACTTGAACTGCAACAAGTGAATGGGAGGGGAAATCGCGTCTACACTTTCAAATGTCTGTTCTTCTGTGTGCGGTAAGTTAAGAAGAATATTGTTTCGTAATTAACATTTGTCTTTTTTCTTGTTATATTTTTAATTTTTTAAGAACAGAGAAATTGCAATTTATGAGTTCTTAGTCTTTAAATAAAAGAATAGATCGTTCTTAATGCGAAAGTATGTGTGACCATGTAGCTCGTGGTTTTTTCTGGCCATTTTAGTTGCGATAACGTTAAAAACAAACCGAAAGGCATGCGGATGACTCATTGAATGGTACACGGACGATGTTTTTAGAAAGAATATATTTAAAAGAGATAGTAACTTGAAATTTAAAGGATTAAAGTTATATTTTAATGACAAAATTGCCAAGGAAAAATAAAATTATTGTACTTACGTCTGCCAAATTTTGTAAAGCCGGTGCAGCGATGAATACCACATAGGGTGCGAACTCCGCAGTTCTGAGGATTTTAAGGGCTTGAGGCTCGACATCTAGGATTGCCATTTTCCCATCCTGATGGATCTTCCTTATCGTTTCTAGCTTCGTACCGTACATAGCGTCTTCGTGGGTTCCTTCACAAAAAAATAAAAGATTTAAATCTAATTTAATTTAATGCGAAAAATTAATGCAGGTAATTATTATACCTAGGGGAGAAAAGGGAATAGGGGTTTATTTAGGTACCTAACATTAGAATTTCATGTCACATACCATATTCCAGGTATTCGTTGGCTGCTATGTCGGCCATCATTTCGTCATGGGACACAAAGAAATAGTTTCTGCCGTTTTCTTCATCGGGTCTAGGTGGTCGGGTGGTGTCTTAATTTTCACGCAAAATTGTAAAATTATAACACAATCGTATAAATATATTATATAATTGAAATATATTCTGAAAATTTCACTAGCATTTATTTAACACTCGATACGTGTTTCGTCTTATATTAAGGGCATCATCAGCACAGATTTACCCCTTTAATTTTTTAACTGATGAGAGCCCAAAAAATTCTAAATTCCTTGGAAAT